TGTGTAGCTTTGTAGACCAGGCGGGCCTTGAACTCAGAAATCCATCTGCCTCTGCCTCCTGAGTGCTGGGACTAAAGGCATGCGCCTCCACTGCCTGACTGGCAGTTGGGTTTTCTACATTATCACAAAGATGGATTTTGCCAAGTAATTCCACTTTTTCATTCATAATCAATAGTTCCTCACTTTCAGGGTTAGAGAATACATTGGTGGCATGCTGGATTTATTCTTTGAGTTCCAAGATGGGCAAACCATACTGCCCTGGGAGTCAGAGGGAGCCTGTTTCCACCACAGAACAGCAGTGAGCTCATCTAAACTCCAATGTGATGCAGATCAGCATCACAGAAAGACTTGTGGTTTTGCTCGCCCAACAATGGCGGTCTCCTGATGGAAAGTCCAGGAATTCAATAGTTGCTCAGTCCACGAGGCTGGCTGTCTCAGCTAGTCATCTTCCACGCTGGAATCCTGGAGCAGTAGGCTCTAATATCAGTGAAGGAATGCCTTAGCAGCAGGATAGATGAACTTATCAGCAAGAGTGGGGACAGGCAGGCAAAAGGCAAAGCTGCGTCCTCCCATGTCCAGAAGGTGTGGTCCAGATTTAGGTGGATCTTCCGTTGTCAAATGATCCAATCTAGAAAAGTCCCTCACATGTGTGCCCAGTTGCTTAGATTTTAATTCTAGTCAAGTTATCAACCAAGAACAGCCATAGTAACATTCACTGTATGTAAGTTTCCAAACCCAGGTCCATCTGTTTACCAAATGATAGGCTAGGTATGTCGAGAGAGGTAAGGAATGTGATTATCTGAAAAGAGTGAAGGAGAAGATGGGGGACCCTTGTCCAAAACCCACCTTCCTTCCGAGGGCAGCAAGGACTTTTCAAAGGAAAGAATTAAGGAAGTAGAAGGAAAGGGCAGAACATTATTGGACATGCTCAGGTGTCATGAGGGTTGACTGTATCCAGTTGCACTTCATGCGTTTTCATGTAGGCATAGGTAGATAGCCATTTTAAGCTACACATGTACAAACTAGCTGTTCTTAGTTCTTTTGTGCAAGAATGTCTACCTAGGAGTTGAGTTGTTGAGTTCTAGTTAACCCTAGTCTTGAGAAACTGCCAGATAGTCTTAAAAAAAAACTACATTGTTTTCCACATTCATGGGGTAAAAACATCTAGGTCACATGGTAACTCTAGGTATCATATATTGAGGGACCACCAAACTATTATCTGGAGTAACTATGTCACTTTACATTGCCACAGGTAATGTAGGAAAAGTCCAGATTTTCTGTCTCTTCATCAATGCTTGGTATCATCTGTTATTTTTATTCTAACTACCTCCACTGAGACTGAAGTATTTCATTTTTACATGATTTGTAACTTTCCAATTAATGATGTACAGCATTTTTCATGTGCCCATTAACCATATCTTTGGTGATATTTCTATTCAATCTTAACTAAATGTTGCAGCATTGTGAGAGTTCTTAATTCTGGATGAAATACAATAAATATTTTCTCCTATAGTAAAGGTTGTTTTCTTTATTTTAAATTTTTATTTTTTGATAGTTTCATATGAGTACTATATTTACATCGTTTCCCCCTTCAACTCCTCTCATGTCTCCCCCATGCCCTGCCAAATCCATGGCTGCTGTTTCTTTAATTACACACACACACACACACACACACACACACACACACACACACACACACACACACACACACCCTAATAGTCCATTTATTGTTGCTTGTCTGTGTGATTAGGGTTGATCCATTGGGATTGAGTAATGTATTGGGGGCTCATTCCAGTAGCCATTGGTTATATGTAGTTTTTCATCTAGGAGTGAGGGGGGGCTAGGAAATTTCCCCCATCCACATTGGCATGTTTCATTATGCAGATTTGCGTAGACAGCCATGCTGCTGAAGTTCCATGGGTGCAGCTTCCCTTTCAAGTCTAGAGACACTATTTAGCAGCAGGTGTCCTGGTCCTCTGGCTCTAATATTTTTCTGTTCTTTTCCAGGGCTTTCCCTGAGTCTTAGATTTAAGGGTTGTATTGTAGATGAGTCAACTGGGATTGGGCATCCTATGATAATTGTTCAGATTATTGTTTTCCTATTGTTTCATCTTGGAGCCTTTCTTTGAAAATTATCGATCAGAAATGCAGTGGATATTTACAGGCTATCACTAGTTCATTTATTGATGTCTGTCTTTACGAAGTACCACACTCTACCGATGACTAAATTTGTTGTAGATTTTGGAGTTTTCTGACTACTGTTTACAGACTTCGGACAACTCTTTCACATACTGCTGTTTACCCACAGCTACAGAGATACGGAGCACTTAGGGGGCATCAAAGTATAAACGAGTTGCTTCTCAGTCTTTATTTGATAAAGCAGTTTTCGAGTCTGCAAAGACTTTGATCACTCTTTTATATCCCATTAAGCTTTCCATTTCTGGTGCTGTAGCTTGTGAGCTCATATTATTCTGTACACTGTAAAAAGAAAAGGAAACCCTTTATGTTGCTTCCACGTGTTTTTTAAATGAACAAAAGTAGTTACAATTTAAAAAAAGCCTAAATAGATAACTTTTTGGCATCTTATTTTTCCATATAACTTATTTTGCTCATATTTTTCTTCCCCAACTCCTCCCAGATCCCATTTCCTTATCCACCCTGCTTCATGATCTTTCCCTTCCACTCCTTCTCAAAAACAAACACCAGACCAAATCAACACCCCTTCCCCCCCCCAAAAAAAGAACCAAACCAGCACAAAAACAGTAAGTTAAAAAAATACTAAAATGCTCATCCCGAGTATACACACGGACTTTGGACTCTCATCCAACAATGTGAGATACACTCTCACCCTGAACTCTTGGGGGGAGGGTCTAGGCCCTGCCCTGTATGAAATGACAGACTATGGACACCCCCATGGAGGGCCTCACCTTCCCTGGGGAAATGAGGGGATAATGGGGAGCGGGTTGGGGGGGGAGGGCACAGGAGGAGGGGAGGGAAAGGGAGGGACCTGGAACTGACTTGTGAAGCAACCTTGTTTCTAATCTAAATTTAAACTGAAAAATAAATTAAAGAATAACATGAAAAAAATGCTAAAATAAAACAAAAAGTATTCATGCATACGTGTGTGTGTGTGTGTGTGTGTGTGTGTGTCTGTTGTGTTGGCCAACTGCTTCTGCACATGAGGCCTGTCTGGAGTGTGATTGATATATTCAATGACATTTGATTGATGAAAACAGATTTTCCTTTTCTTAGCAAATACCAGTTGCAAATAGTTTCTTGGCTAGTTACAGGAATTGTGGGCTGGGACTTGTCTGGTTTGCATTTGTGCAGGTCCTGTGCGCTGTCACAGTCTCTGTGGGACTATATAGGCATTGGTTCTGTAGTGACTGGATGACCCTGTTTCTGTGGAGACATTCATCACCTCTAGCTCATACACTCTTTCTGCTTCTTCTGCATTGATACACTGAAGGGAAGGGTTTAATAAAGACATTACATTTAGGCTGTTCCTCATTCTCTGGCTTAATTACCATCTACTACAAGAAGAAGCTTCTCTGAGGAGGGTTGGGTGATAGAGGGAGGGAGGGAGGGAGGGAGGGAGGGAGGGAGGGAGGGAGGGAGGGAGAGAGAGAGAGAGAGAGAGAGAGAGAGAGAGAGAGAGAGAGAGAGAGAGAGAGAGAGAGAGAGTTTAGTAACTCCCTGTAAGTGTTGTTATAACTGATCACGTTTTGACCTATAAAAGGGCATAAAAAGTGTTCAGGATAGAAACTGGCAAAAATTAGGCACTCAGCAATGTCAGCTATGATTTTTATTACCACTTCAGTTAATTAATCTATTTATTTATTTATTTAGTTTTTTTTTTTTTAGAGACAGGGTTTCTCTGTATTGTTTTGGAGCCTGTCCTGGAACTCATTCGGTAGACCAGGCTTGGTCTCAAACTCACAGAGATCCACCTGCCTCTGCCTCCTGAGTGCTAGGATTAAAGGCATGTGCCACCATCACCCAGCTTCAGTTAATTTATTAATATTTATTTTGTTAAAACTCACTTTTTCTGTTAGCCTTTCAACATTGGTTTTCAGTAGAAACACAAGCTGGATGATTATTCCCAGAGTTGGATCAAATGATTATAAAGCCTCATATCTCCAGAAACAATTAAAACCCAGTCAATGTTAACACACACAGTTTTGCTTTGAAGAGTCTTCATTTTGTTTTCTATATAAACTGTACAAGTCCCAGATTTTGTTTAGTTCTTCAGCTTACACTTGGTTAAGAATTTTCCATTCTCCAAAGGATTGGCTAGCTTTCCAACGTTGGAAAAGTAAGACTATAATTTTGTCTCTGCCTGTCAATTTGCTGGATCTGATCAAGTCACAGATGGAGATATACAGTCACTGAAAGTGTCAAGGGAGTGACGGGTCTATGGGCATTCGGTTTCCATATAATTCTCAGTGAAGAGCACGCTAGAGGGTTAGTGTTTGGGCTAAGTCCAAGCCTCTCATTCTTTTTTAGTAAAATAGCCTGAGTTTCCTTCTACATGGAGACACCACAGGTTTTGGAAACAAACCTCTTGTGAAAGCCATTGCACATAGGCACACATGCAAAGTTTGCCTATCATAACATGTAGACTGCAGAAAAACGGTTTAGAAATCACTTTATTACTTTTAGAAGGTGCAAAGCCCTTAAATTCATAGTTAAAGACTGAGGCTGACTTTCCAGTAGCAGGCTTGAGAGTTAACATTAGAGGGCCGGTGTTTTGTTGCAAGGAAAACAAAACAAAACCCTGATATATTGTTCTCCATCATCTCCTCCCAAAGAGCTACTCGACCTACGAAACAAACAAATCTCATCATGAGCACAGATAACCCCAGGCTGCAGATCTGTAATCTGACTGTGGCCATCAGCAACCAGAAATGAGTTTTTTCTAATCAGCTTTCCATCAGTCCCCAGTCGCTCCTATAAAGGAACACAGGGAGGGAGGAAGCGCACTGCTCTTCAGCACCAGGGTTCTGGACAGCGCCCTGAGCAGTCTGCTGTCCCTGGCCTCTCTCTCCTCTGTCTCTGCCAAGACTGCCCCTCTGGTCCCCCCTGCTGCTGAGAAAGAAAATTACATCGGGATCCATGCAGCCGGCAATGATGATGTTTTCCAGTAAATACTGGGCCAGGAGAGGGTTGTCCCTGGATTCAGCAGTGCCCGAAGAGCATCAGCTAGTTGGCAGCTTAACAGTGAGTATCTGGCACTCTCCAGTGTTCTCTAGGGCAGCAATTGTCTTAACCTCACCATATGGACACCTGCTGTAGAGCAAGCATGCAGTTCAACTCCCTCCTCTGTGGTCTTGTCTCACTATCTCCCTTCTGTCTGCCTTAGCTCTTCACAAAGGAAAGCAGGTGGGCGAATTGCTGGGAGATAAACTTCCCTCAAATAAAAAATGAAGTTTTCTGTCATGAAGAATGAAAGATTATGTGAGCCAATGTCTTATATCCACTCCTCCCTCAAAATATAGAACATTGCAAGGCTGATAAGGAAGGTTTGGGAGAAAAAATTAAATATATTTCTATGGTTTCTATAAGACAGTACTGTCTCCTATATCCCCCTCAAAACTTGTTTTTAAACACAGAATGCGCATTCTTGAGTTTAAGTGCAGGTTTTGGAGTAAAAGAGGAACCATTGCCCTTCAGAGGGTTTCCTGCATGCCACATCACTCTCCCTTTAAAGTTTAATTGATGGAATAATGAAAAAAATACTCCAGTTGTTTCAATATTTGCAAGATATTCTTGTGTTTAAAATATTGACAATAAAAACAGTATTTGTAAAGATAGAGTTCTTGCAAAGGTTTAGATCCTAATTTGAGCAATAGTCATGAGAGTTAATAAAAAAGTACTCTTGCCTTACTAACATGAAATGAAAACATATCCAGGCTTCTGTCATTAAACATTTTAGGTGATGCTTCACTGTTGTCTCTTCTGCTTGTCAGAGAAAAAAAAATCAAGGTTAATGCCTTAGTTCCAAATGTGTGCATTCTACTTATTACTACACAAATGTTGAAAAATAGTCCCAGCAACTTTCTTAGCACTATTTAAATCAATTTGAGAAAATGAGGCCAAAATGCAAAACAGATTTCCTAGCACTCAAGTATCATGAATATTTGGATGAGATGTTACATTGAGGAATTCTTAAGTCATAACAGACTGCTAGGAAGAAAACACACACACACACACACACCCCTCAGTTACGGGTAATGTATGACCCTTTCACTGTAAAAATGCTCCTTAGACATATGAGATCTGGGGATTATGTGAGAAGCTGAAGCAGATGTTGAGACTATGAAGGCATTTGAGCTTTTAATGACTAAACATACTGTCAAATACCAATGTCGGCATAAACTTCTTCTCTCCCTCAAGTCATAAATAATAAAATATCCATTCCTATTATATATAAATTCAGCAAGCGAGGCAATCTTAATGCGTGAAAATAAAGCCAGTAGAGAAATTGAAGGAAGAGAGCGGCAAATCACTTCACTGGGGTCCATATAAATGTGCGGGTCTCTGTTCCTTGAGGATGTAGTAGACTGGTGTGATTATGTTATCCCACCATTAGGCAGGGAGACAATTCTTTGTTTGCCCAACTCTGCATTCATATATAATGAGTACAAACATTTTACATTGTCTGTCAAATGAAAAGTTCCCAGCTTTGTCTCTCCAATTCTGCGATGCGTTCTGAATTGCTAGAGTCTGATCTTTAGCCAGAAGAACTTAGTTATCACTCAGATTCTCTGGTTTGTTCCTAATGATTAGCTAACTGAATCTTTTTCTCTCTTCTGCCATTCCAACTGCCTGTTTTGTTTGTGACTGAAATGTGCTAGTCACTTTCCAGAATCAATTTTCTACAGAGGGATTCGCTGGGCATACTGTTCTGTCATGGACTTCCTCAATGGGCAGGAAGGTTCAGATTCATGGTTTGTGATGGTAATGTGGGTCTCAATGGAGAAATTATCCTTTCCCATATATGTGCTGACGTGTTTCAGAATGCAGTAAACATTTTTTTGGAGACTTCATTGAAGTGACATTTACTCTTGCCAAAACGGTCTTATGCTTGGTATATTAACTAATGAATATAGTTTACATATGCACCAACTAAGACAAAAGATCAGATTTTTATGCTGCAAAATTAGCCTGAAAAGCAAGGAGGAATTATCCACATATATTACTTTAAGCTTTCTCAGTGGTTCTCAGCCTGTGGGTCATGACCCCCTCTGGAGTTCGGAGTCGAGCAAACCTTTTGCAGGAGTTGCTTAAGACCATCAGAAATATCAGATATTTATTTCATGATTCACAACAGTGGCAAAACTAAAATTATGAAGTAGCAATGGTAATAATTCTGTGGTTTGGGGTTAGTACAACATGAGGAACTGTTTTAAAAAGTCATAGCATTAGGAAGGTTGAAAGCCACTGTAGTTGATAATCAGGTTTTTGTCACCATCAAACTAGAGGAAACCTGATATGCCTTAAGTTAATTCTCTAGACACTGCCCCGAAACAGTGCAAAGAGTATTTACGGAAACCTCTGGAACCTAACTGATTTTTGTGCTTTGACTGCCTTGAAGCTAAATAAAGCTATTACTGGCAAAAATGAGGACAAGAAAGGAAGCAAAGAGAGCAGCAGCAGCAACACTACAGAGAGCGGCAGGACAGCAGTTGTGTTCTCCTTGAAGAATGAAGTTGGTGGGCTGGTGAAAGCACTGCGACTCTTTCAGGTAAAGCCATAACACCCTCATGCAGCTGTCGGGTGGCTGTGAGCCTGACTACAGACCTGTGGCCTGCTCTGAAGGCATTCCGAAATCCGTGTCTGGAACATTCAAAGGAACAAAGTATCATGAGGCTTTTCAAGGGGAGTTTGCTCTGCCCAACAGTGACATAAGCAGGTTCAAGTGAACTGTGATTCATTAATTCAGAGTTAGCCCATTAGGACCCTGTACATTGTTGCCAGGTGTGAAAGTCTGTAATTCAGAAATGTGAGCTTTGCAGTTGAACATGCAAACACACACACACACACACACACACACACACACACGCACACACACACGCTCACATCCAAGGTGCTTCAAAATATCAACCATCTTTCCCCTGCTTTAATTTACTAAATTTGAACTGTACTCGTGTAATGAGAGCATATTGATTGCATAAAGTGAGATACATGAACACAGGCACTTCCTTAATAATGCGTGTTATGTAAAGGTGAATTCCTGTCCATACATATACATATATATGTATATATATATAAAATGAAGGAGTTTCTTATAGAAGGTATAGCATAGTCTTTGGTGTAAATCCTTGCTTTAGTCCTAAACACAGAGCTTGGGTGAAGAGTAATGCCTTGTACACCTGATGTTTCCTCCATCTTAAGCAAAAAAAAACCTTACAAATGTTTTGTTGGGTGCAACAGCTGGTAGGCAGTTTTGGGAGATGAAGAGTTCGACACTTCCTGCTGCCTTGGGCTGTTGCATAGTAGACACATAGTTAGGGGATTTGGACCTGTGCTCGCTTAGTTGGCTAACCATTACCTGCTCCCCAGTTCAATTTCCTCATCTGTAAAATGGCAATAATAATTCCTACCTAACTGGGTTGCTGAGATGAAATAATGTGAGAGTGCTTTGTTGAATGCAGACAGGAGGCATCATTTGTGGTGCCTCTAGATGATGAGAGATGGGGAATTAATCTGATTCAGAACATGTTTCCTCGTCCCCTTCTGGCCTCGAAGAAAGGATCAGGGACCATAAACAGTATTAATGGAAATCTGGAGTAGTATTTTACACATAATTATGCTGTGTGGGGCTGTGTCCATACAATGCCCAAAGGCAAGCCAATTCAATTAGACACCTGGGTGCAGTGGAAAAATCCCTGGAGAAGGAGTTTGCACTTTGAATTTGCACTCTGCCATCAGCTAGTCACAGGGCCTTAGATAAACCCCTTAACCCACTGGGACCTCAGTGCCCTGGTCTAAAAATATCTGGTCTGATTGAACCAAACATTAAAATCCCAAAGTGGTGCAATGAATGTGGAGTCTCTCGGGCATTGAACTTAATATTAACCCCACTTTCATTATATTAGCCAATTTATAAAATATAGCATTATTGCAAAGCTTAATAGAAAGAGAATTGGTCTTGTGTCCGAAACTGTGCTGAAATCCAGAGTGCAGCCTCTTATGGGATGGGGAGCTGTGCGCTTATGGCAGGGCATGAAAAGAAGGCCTGAATCTACAGTCCACAAAGGAGAAAGGTGTACCAACAGAAAACTTAAACCACATTTTACATGAAAGTTCCTGTCCTTCTCGGAATAGCCTGTTCTAACAAGCCTCACAAAATGACAGCTGCGGAATATAAAGTTAGTTCAGCAGATGCCAAAGAGAGCCACTAGGTGGTCCTATTTAGGGGGTATTGTTACTGTATTCTGCCTCTTCACTGCACTTGAGTTGTTTTTCTTTTGCCTGGGAGATCCTCTCATGCATGCTTTTCCTGTTTCCCTAAAATTTAGGCTATACTTTGATCATTATTTTCCAAATCTTAGGCATTTTTGCACACACTCTGTTTTCTGCCTGTCATTTTTATTAAAATTTAGGCTATACTTTGATCATTATTTTCCAAATCTTAGGCATTTTTGCACACACTCTGTTTTCTGCCTGTCATTTTTATTATTTGCTTTTTTTTTTTAAAAAAAGAGTTGCTTTATTTTGTATTTTTAAATTGTTGTTATATGTAAAAAGCACCTTGCTATGTGGTCTAGAGAAATTTGCAACCCTCTGCCATCTGAGTGGTGGGATTTTAGGCATGAGTCATCATGTTTGACTCTACATGACTGCTTTATTGTTAAATTTTACTTTAAAGGCAAGCCTTTTATTATTGTAAGATTGAGTTTTGTGTTTTTCTAGAGTATGAAAATAAAAATTTTAGGATATTACATTATGGTAGTCTAATAGGCAGTCTAATCTCCTTGTCAACCATTGCTCAGCAGCAGTGGGATGTGGACCCCTCTAAGAAACGATGCAAACAACCAGGATATATTCTATAGTGTCTTTTATATGTTTTCAATGCCCTCCCCTTCTTATTATGAGAGAGGACAACCTACACGGAAGCATAGCAACTAGTCTCTTCTATTAATAAAAACAGTTGCTAGAAAAGCTCTCACATCTTAATCAGCCAAAGCATAGTCAGTCCTCTTCTGTAGGTACTTGGCCCTTCACCTCTGATAACCACACGATACTAGCTAGCATTTCATTCACTGTGACCAGAGTGTGATGCAGAGATATTACTCATGTATCCACAGGAAAAACATGTCAACATGGTTCACATCGAATCCAGGAGGTCCCGGCGAAGAAGTTCTGAAGTTGAAATCTTCGTGGACTGCGAATGTGGCAAGACAGAATTCAATGAGCTCATCCAGTCGCTTAAATTTCAGACCAGCATTGTGACACTGAATCCGCCCGAGAACATTTGGACAGAGGAAGAAGGCAAGGGTTTTTTTTTTTTTTTTTTTTTTTTTTGCTTGTTGTGAGATTTTGCAGTCTGACAAACGTTGCAAAGGGGAAGGCGTAACCTGTGAGCTGATGTTACTGAACCTGCCCTGTCTTCAACAGAACTGGAGGATGTGCTGTGGTTTCCTCGGAAGATCTCTGAGTTAGACAGGTGCTCTCACAGAGTTCTCATGTACGGTACTGAGCTCGATGCTGACCACCCAGTAAGTATCTAGTAGAATCCCGTCCACCTGTCCCCTCCAGGCCATGCCATGTTCCAGATGCTGTCCGGTGTTCTGTGCCATAGCTGCTTCATTGGAGAGCAATTTCTATCTCTCCTCCACAACTGAGAGCAGACTTTCAGATGATTAAAGCTTCCCTGTACATGTGTTGGCCAGAAGGAGGTTAGAAAGATGGTGTTTTCACATAGCGTTTATTTATAAAATGGTTGGGTAGAGGAGGAGATTGTATACCCTGGAGAGTATTTCTGTGGAATTAGACAGCCTAAAATATACTTGCAGATGGTGACCCCTGGAAGAACGAGGAACTGAAATTGATCACACCTTTGGGAAACTAGGGAGGACTAGATGTGATGGGGCTTGGAGGGAGAATAAAATTCCTGCCATTTTCCTTGACTGGAGGTAGTTAAGAGTAGAGTTATGTGCTTGACTTCAGTCTCAATGGAAAGGCAGAAGGGTTTAAAATAAGGCTGTGATGGAAGAGGCATCCCTTCCCACATCTTCTCCACATCCATCTACCACCATTTCCTCCTCTACTCCAATAAAAGTGACCATCTTCAGAGAAATATGACACTTGGGTAAGCATTTCCCATTTTTCTCCCCCGCCCCATTTTTATCAGTTTTTTATTTAACACAAGAGACCTGGAACTTCTTTATGGCCAGAATGAAGTACAGTGAGGTAAGCAATATACACATTCATTATAAGCATTTTTCCCTCCCCCAGCGTCTAGAAGTGGGTGGATAGAACACTGAAATCTAGGCAGATCCGTCATGCTTAGTCGAAGCCTTTGTGTTATGAGGGACATGGCTTACAGATACTCACCCTATTTCAATGGAGAGAATCACTGTACTCTGAATAGTGGTACCTAAGTGTGAGCATAGGATTGCAGTATCAACAGCATCTGGGACCTTGCTTTAACCAGTCCATACTTCTTCAGTTCCGGATCCACGACAAGTTCAACAGGAACAAAATTTCATTCAAAGTAGTCTTTTGGCATAGTATACCAATTCAAACCAACTCAAATATACCGTTCAAATAAATACCGTTCAACATACCTAAGAGTATTGCATTATTTGTAAAAAGCTGAAATAACATGGACACAGTTGTATTTGCAGCATAGCATTAAAAAAAATCACATTAATTCATGCCACAGCAACAGAAAACCCATTACACAGTGACTTTAGTAATCTTCACCGAAGATTTTAGTTGTTGCCCCTCTCTCCCAGTCTCGTCCAGGCTGGAAGAGTGCAAGCTGATTGAAATGGTTAGGAGGATGGAGGCTGCAGGATGCCAGCTGCTAGCTTGCAGAGCGACCTTGGTGAGGTCCACATACCTCTCTCTGCCTCTCAGCGTTCTTTAAAGTAAAAAGTGGAAATGTAAATTCTTATTGACCTCAATGGGGTGTTTGAAAAGCTCAGTTAATAAAGCATCTGAAAGGCAATTTGGCAACAGGAAGCACTTAAATGCTGAATTAAACCATCTAGATCAATACGTAGACAGAAGAGGCGCTTTGAGATCCTCCCATTCCTCCCTTAGTGACGTTTTAAAAATTACTTAACCTGGATGGAGGAAGGGGTACAGCCATTGGACCGAAACCACCGCAGGAGCCACTGACCCTGCTGTGAACAAAATGTATACCAACACCAAGAGTAAATTTTTTTTCTGTGCTTAATTTTATTCCATTACTCCCAATTACACCTGCTTTATGATACCTTTACTTATTTTCTGTGCAGCCACTTGAAATAATTGCAAGTACTTAGCAATCCCCTACATCTCTTGTCATTTTAAAACCATGTATCTTCACGTTTACAAGCATACCAAATGCTCATTATGCAAAAATCTGATATGGGCAAGTTGGTGCTTTTGTGAGTTTGTATTTGATGTGGATGGGGGCGTTGTCTAAGAATTTTTTACGTCTGAGAATGATTACAGTTCTAGGACAGACACAGGGACTCTTGCCATAGGACAGTTCAGAGAGGGCGTAGAATATAAATCATGCTGTGTTGTGCAGTATTATTTTAACGAGGGGAAGATGTGTCACATTTGTTCATGCTGCAGAATATTGCTTTAACTGTGTAGAGGTGTGTGTTAACTTTTGTCTATGCTACATTTGTTTAATGAAAGGATAGGTAGGGCTGGCACGCAGAGAGAACACTAGGCTTGAAAGGAAGCAGAGGAAGGAGAGAGGGAGGGACGTGGTCGTGGCCCTCAAATTTTAATAGACAAAGAAATTGAGAAGCACCGTGATTCCCAACGGCCTAAGAGTGTATTTCTTGAGAGTTCCCCTGGGGGATATGGGTCCATGTTTTTGACTTGCCAGGGCTTAGAACTTGGTGTGTTTGGGGGGTGGGTTTCCCAAGGTGTGGTTCAAGGTCCACTCTTCAGATAAGAAAGGAAGGAAGGAAAGAGAAAGAAAGAAAAGAGACATCAAGGTGCTCCCCGGGAGCCCAGGGAAGGAGGTTTTCCTGCATGGGAAAGGGCCTGTAGAAGATTCCAGTTGCTCGAAGGGTGAGAATTAACATCCTAGCTCAGTCAGTCTCCACTTCAATCATCTTCCGGGAAGTTAAAAATTATGACCTCACTCTTCAGAGCTTAAATCAGAACCTCTGGGGGAAGGGGCCAGGTTTGAAGTGTCATTAAAATTCCCTTAATGGCTCTAATATCACACCAGGGTTGAGCTGTTGAGATGTCTAAATAGATTTGGGCACATTAGGGTTTACTTTGATTTAATTTGGGGACTTTTACAAATAAATATGTAATGTTGCCCAGTAAAATTGGAAAAATTTGTGATTTCTCTGAAATTGAAATTTTAACTGGGCATCTTGTTTTTTTGTTTTTTTGTTTTTTGTTTTTTGTTTTTTGTACCCTATCCCTGACTTCAGTTCAGAACGGGTAGCCAAAAAACTGCTGTGTGTCTGGAATGTCTGGTTCAGCTAACTAGCACCTTTTACTTTGCCAGTCCCTGGATCCTCCACAACATTTTCGTAATCACTGCCACTCTAGGCTAATGAGGCGTGATGAGCGAATCTCGTCCCTGGAAAAAGGTGCAGGTGCTTGCTGAGGAGAGTAGTTGAGATTCTTCTGGAAGCCAGCAGATTATGATGCAGTTGCCATGGTGTCCAGCCTGGCAGGAGCCAGGGGACAGATGCTATGCTTTTCATGGAACTCTTTCCCTTTTTCACGGCCTACTTTTCATTTTGAAACATAAATGTGCTTAGGATTTTTTAGCTTCCCCACCCCAGGTAGCCTGTCTTACTAGTGGGTGAAGAGCCCACTTTCTAGCGTCTCTGTCTACCCTCTAGAGCAGGAGAGTCATTTGTAAATGTGGTAACTATGGTCAACAGCTTTGCCTGTAGGCAGTTTAGGGTTTTGCAAGGCTACCTAAGAACCTTTGTTTAAACAATCTGAAGTCTAAGCTCAAGGAAGGGGAAATGCAGGTTACTGTGTGTGGGTGACCTCATTTTTACTGGGGTGTTAGAGTGATCTGAGGAGGTGTTTCTCCCTCCTCCATTACTAACTTTTTTGCTTTCCCAAAAAGAAAGGTAATTCTTCAGTTATATCCAGCACACAGCCCCATGGAGATTCCTGTTCTTGATACCCATTTTCTGTCAGTCAGACAAGAGAACCGGGCTTTTTTTTTTTTTTTTTTTTTTTTAGTGAGTTTGTTTCTTTTGAACAACCCACCTTGCAGAAATGTCTGTATTAAATCCTTGTGGACACCTCTTTTACCGTTGAAGTCTACACTCTAGCTTGTCCCCTGTGGTTCGTGGCTTCAGAGAAGCCCACTGATGTGAGGAGAGATGGTTAAGCCAGGAAGTCTTCTCAGAAGTCCACAAGACTGAAAAGTGACACTCAGTGTTTACTTTCCCAAGTGGATGAGGTCATATGAAAGTATTTTTTAAATTATTATTTTATGGTTTAGATACAAATCTTGCAATTGGTTAAGAGACAGTGACTGAGAGTCCTTTAGTGGGATGAATGGGCCTGGCCTGCCCTTAGCGAATGGGACTCCTCCTAGTGTTGCCTGGTGTGGTCATGAACACAGCAAAACCTCTTTAATTCACGCTAATTTGGGGATCTGATAATTACCCGGAGTGACTGAGTCTTTAATAAATGTTGTATTTATTAGTTGTTTACACATAGCAATTAAAATTTGGTTAAACAGGTTAAACCTGTTTTAATGAATAGGCTAAGATTAACTTGTTAAGATCAATTACTTGTAAATGATACTTGAAACCCTAAAGATATACTGTGCAAAGTAATCATTTACTTAGCTAAGCCATACTACTTGCCTAGTGGGAAGGTAAACTCTGGCCTGATTCCCACACATCCCAAATTAGTAGATTCAAGTTGAAAGAGGTTTTACTGTAAGCCTGTGTCATCCAGTCGGTCATCTGAGGATAAGATTTACATTTGAATGGAACACTCAATAAACACCACAGTGATTTTCTTTTAGGCCTTCTTCGGCTAATTTTTCCGGCACTTTGTTAAATAACTTAATCTCTTTTCTCTTTAAGGGATTTAAGGACAATGTCTATCGACAGAGGAGGAAGTATTTTGTGGATGTGGCCATGGGTTATAAATAGTAAGTAACTGTATAACTCTTTCTTGTCCGTGGCCAGTTAAGAATAAACAAGTGCTGTGGATACACACTGCTGTCCTCACTTTAACTCTTGCAGAAGAGACACAGGAACCATATAAAACATTCTCCAACTTCCTGGGCTTTCAATGCCAACTCTGATGTTTGACATCTATGTACCGTTGTGACATAATGAGACCCATGTGCTATGTGCCAAGTCCTACATTGACACCCCTGTATTTGTAGCTCCATTAGGGCAAGGAACTATTTCCGTTCGCTCTGAAAGGCTTGAACAAAACTCTGCTCTTGTTTCCCTTTGACTTCTCAGTAACTCATTTCAGTGTCTGATTTTCCCCATAAAAGGAGAGAATTAGGCAAAAATGGGCAAAGGAATTCTGAAAACAGCCAGCATAGAATTAAAATGTGTTTGCTTTACATGGAAAGGAAACTATCCTACAAATAGGATGGCTTAGGGAGTTTGATAAACAGAGACAATAGGGTTGGGATGAAGTTGGAGTACTGTATCCCAAATGGTGATCAGTGGTGATGACCGGCTGAGTGTGTGACTGGCAGCAGTGTGTGCATGTTTACTGTATGCTTTGCTTGGAAAAACAGAAGGGGTGTTGGGTCCTTGTTCATGTTGTTCTCCTCGGGTTAACTCTCACATTACCGCTTTCCTTTTTCTGGCCTATGATCAGCAGCAATATGAAGTTTGTCTTCTGAACAAAGTGTAAATTCATGCCTGGTAGGGGAAAGAATTTTTCCTTACGTTAGTTGAGATGTAAGGTGTGTTACTTTTGTTTACGCTCTGGAACATTTGTTTAATGATGCAAAGATGTGTTTGGGTAAATAAAATTCACCTGCATTCAGGAGACTGGTTCCACAACTAGCCGACCGGAAGTTGTAGGGAGGAGTCAGGTGGAGAAGGGTTTAGAAGGAGGGGCGAGAAGGTGTTCGAGGACTTCTTGGGAGACACGAAGAGGTGAGCTGCTTGCTGTCAGCCTCTCTGGGAAGCTGGGTTCTACCTCAACCTTTGAATCTTGAGTTCTTTAGTGTGACAGATTTTTAAAAATTTCCTTAGTAGCTTTGAAAAAAATCGGTGTCTAAGGGAACAGAATTCCCTCAGGCTTCGAATCTTGCGGTTTAGCCGCCGCTGGTAGCGGTGGGGTGGCAGTTGCTGAAGACAATAGCTGTAGCTTAAAAGGCAGCATTAATTAAAAAAAGAAAATCAACATTTTTCTACAGTATGTATTCTGTGCCAGGCAGTGTCTTCCCCCATGCCGTGACTTATTTTAACAACAAACAACTTGCCATGGCCCATGCCCAGTCTCACGCCCTCTGTTGCTCTCTAACCCCATGTCCCAGAGTATGAGACGGATAGCCTAGCCGGGAGAGGACCGTGCTGGACTGAGGGCGTTGTTCAGAGGCAGCCCCACGGAGTGGTGGCCTTCAAATGGGTTTTCTCTGGCTTGCAGACTGCCTATGGAATAGGATCACAGATCCTTGGGGGTGGGTGGGGAGGTATTCCCTTTAGGCATGATCTGTCCAGGAGATGGTCCAAGCTCAATGCTGGGCCGACTTTTCTCTTAGAGAAAATAGGTGGCTAAAAGACATTGTCTTCCACGGGCACTGCACGACACACATGCAGGGTAAAATAACTATGCATCTAAAGCCCTCCCTCCAAAATCTCAAGGATTTTATAATAGATGCCATGTATAACATTTTATATATATAGCTACATATGACTTAAATGCAGCATTTTGTAGGCATAATGACTAAAGGGTTACTTAAATGTTACCTCCTGTTTGAAGAGCTAAGGCACTGGGGAAAGACAAGTTGATTTTGGTGGCCATATGTCCCAAGGAACACTGGTAACAGACATTGGCTTGAAGGAAGTGCATTTTTATCAGGAGGAGAGGACAAGGGGCGGGTGAGGTGGTCAAAGGGTTCACAACGTTTTTGCTTCTGTCACCTCCCATAGCTAAAAGAGGACACTGATCTGTGACTAAAGTAGAACTTGGAGTCTGGACCAGGTGGAGTTTTCATGGTAAATAGAGGACTGGGAAAATTGGGCTTCTCAGAACCTAGTACAAGTCTGGAGTGCTGGGCGAAGAGTTCAGGCCCAAGGGACTCAACGCTTACGACTGAGCTAGCCCGGAAGCTGCCAACTCACCGCTTTTCAGAGACCAGCCTCTGAGAACCCTTTCTGCTGTCCCAGGGGATGAGAGGGTTTTTTTTTTTCCCCTTCAGAGGGGAGGGGGTGGAGAGGGGGCATGTTGTGTCTGAGCATGCTTGGTAGGGTAGGGCACCAGTCCAGGAGTGTTTACCTCAGAGGGTTTGTAATCTAGGAACATCAAAACCTGCTCCTGGGGCAGTGCGCCGAGGCTAGACGGTGTAGGCAGACTAACAAGGTGCTGTGAAGCGGAGCCGGACAGTCTGGGATGGAGAGCTGGCTCTGCCGGATCCTCAAGCCCCTGTGTCTTTGCAGTGTGTCTATCAGAAGGCCTTGTCTGACCGAGGGGTAGTAGGGATGTAAAGAGAGATTGTATACGCTGTGCTTGGCATCATGCCTGGACCCTGATCTGGGCTCAGTTGTGTCAGTTGTTATTACTGTCTTTCTGCTACGCTTTGCTTGCTCATTAAGATACTGTTGGGTAAACTTATTATTTTTGTGCTGACAACAGTCCTTTTCATGGAGGGATTTCATAAAAAGAGATTATACTCCCATTTTTCATGTGTGAAAGAAGCTGTCAAGATCCTGGTAACAAATTGGCAGTTGTTGTGAGTGCTGCTTGTGAATGGATCGAGTAAAGAAGTTACTTACGAGTTGTTAAGCCAGGAGAACATGACCCCAGGACCTGTGCAAAGTAGAGAGCAAAAGATTTCACTTTAGTACTGCATTTTCTTATACTAGTACAGCCAAGGTTGGCATGAGTTTGAGGATGGGTAAAGGGTAGCCCACTCACGTGCATATTCAAGCTGGTGCGTGTGAGAGTGTGAGCGCATGCTCACGTGTGTCTGTGTTTACAAGCTCATGCTTTTGGGCTCCCACACTTGCAAAGCCAGGTGGAAGAGGGGCACAGATACTAAGACATTCCAAATGGGCCTAAGATTCCTTTTTTTGTTTACGGGAAATGAAGACATGATTTCTCATTGAGCTAGATGGTTTCTCACGCTGATGCCTTTGTGAGTGTGCAATGTTGAAATGAACTAATACTCAAGTTACTTACAACAAGCTCCTTTTAGTGTACTTTGACCAGATTTCCCAAGCCCAGAATGGGGAGTGCTGGTCTGAGGACCATATTATTTGAAACTGAAAATTCAGCCTTTGAAATACCTGCCAATAGATTGACACAATTAGGACCTTTGGGGGAGGTGTGGAGATGGGGAATACTGGTCAGGGGAGTCATTTCTGATTGGCGGAAGGAATAAAGGAAAAGCATTCAAACATGACTTAGAGCATTGCATTGTACCTCATAAACAAACACAATTATAATTTGTCAATATCCAATTAAAAATAAAAATAGGTACCGTCGGGCATGGGGAGAACATTTTACTGTTGGTGATTTAGGCTGGGCCTGCTGGACTCTGGGCAGCGGTGGTAGGTACGTAGTCAGAAGCATTGAAAGAGATGGAGTACTACAGGTGTTTTGAGGTTGCTGAAGGGATCCCGGGCTGTAGACGGAGGGGGTCTCACATAAGGAGAAAGAGAAATGAGATACAGAACCATATCTATTGAAACCACAGCCCAAGAAGCCCTCTGGGGGATTTGTGTTGAATACTATATATACTTTTTTTTATGATAGTCTTGAAAGGCTAAAACGGGGTGGGGGTGGGAATTGACACACGCAGAGAAAAATGAAAAAATTCCACTCTATGATGAAAAAACAGCAGGCTCAAAGTCCATATTACCGTGAACTCCAAAGAGGTGAGGAGCGGAAAAGCGCCTGCATGCTGGGAACTGTCAATAGATGCCACTCAGGCACAGTTCTGATTGACAGTGCAGCTGAGAAAGTTGATTGATTACCCAGAGGCCCGCAGCCACCTGCAGACAGGCCCCTCCGCTCAGTGTCTGCAAGGCTTAATTGCCTCACCAGTAATAGCATAGGAAACAGTCATTAGTACAAGTGGTACTCCTCATGGCAGACCTTTGTACGAACACCCAGCCCGGGGGAAGGCACCATACTAGCCTCTGACATGCAGATCATACTCTGTCCTCACCAGCTCAAAGAATTCTAGTATAAAGCGGGGAGTGTCCCTCAGTGATGTGATGGGAGCGTACACTCCTAGTTCCAAGGAAGTGGACGTGTGTGTAGAGGCAGACAGCATGTAAAGGAAGAAAAAGAGGGTGGCTTTGGTGGTGCGACTCCCAGGGGAGTCAGAACCTCTAGGTTTTCTATCCATGGTGCCTTCATCTTTAACCCAGCTGAATTTCTACACTGAATTGTTGGGGAGCTAGATTAAGAGAGAAATCAGTAACACAGTTTTTTTTAAATTAACCAGCAAATTCATTTTTTCCCTTGGAGGCAGGTTTAATGATTACTCTTCAACAATGTGCATGCATATTTAATTAAGTCATATTTTTGGTGGGGGTAGTGGTAGTTGTTTTAATTTTATTCTCTTGGAAGGAGCCCCCAAGCTTTGACTTTAATCATACCATTGTTGTTTGCTTAACTGTACCTCCAATAGAAGTTTGATTTTGCCTTGATGTAAATGTGATTCCTCCTGCTTGAAATTAAGGTGACACACTGGCTCGGGCTGTTTCCTTTTTAGCACTGCCCCCTGCACACCCCAGGAATCTGAGAAGTCAGTTGGTAGACAGCTGATGCCCCAGGTAAGGCTAGCAGGAGGGGTTCAGCATGTCAGAGTTCCAGACCTAACTCCAGATGGAACCCCTGCCCCATTTCCCAATAAGAATCTGTCTGCCCCTTCCTTTCTTCCTTCCTTCCCTCCTTTTTTCTTTCTTTCTTTCTTTCTTTCTTTCTTTCTTTCTTTCTTTCTTTCTT